CTTTTTTTTTTTTTTTTTCTGATACCTTTTAACTACAAGAAAATCTATTATATTCATACAGGCAAAAAATAAAGATAACAACTGTTAATCCCGTTTTCATTTAACTTATCAATCTTTGCCTGACTTTTTTGGTCATTCAGTATGACAGGTGAATTAAGAGCTAAAAAGCTCTAAGCTAATTTTTTTTTTGTAAAACTTTAATAGAAATAGTGGTTAACTGTAGAATGCTGGAAATCTGTTGCTTTGGTAAGGTTAAAAGTTCATTACCAAATAGGACAGAAACAATAGTAAATGTAACGAATAAAGATAAGAAGATAGAAGTGAGTAAAAAAAAAAAAAAAAAAAACTATAAATAATTAACCATTTTCTTTCTTCGTTTTAAACAAAGAAGAAATTTATTTCCTTTTTCTATAACAGTAAAAAATACGAATTAATTTTTTGTATTAAAACTTATCATAGTATTAAATCGATGACGATACTGATCAAAAAAAAGAAAGAAAAAACTAAATGACAGTAAGAAGAATTATTATTTGAAGCGTTGTTGCCGTTATTACGACCAACAAATAACTCACCAAATTGGTCTCGTAAAAAAGAATCATTAAAGAAAAAAAAAAAAAAACATATTTTTTTTTCTGTATTTTTGGATTAACATTTATTTTTGTGAGTACAAATAGTGATAGACATATCATTTCGCCATTTATTTCATCTCCTCACTGTTACAGTGTTTTGTTCAATTTACCTCTTCAAAAATAAAAGGAAAAATTTCATTTTTTCTTTTTTTTTTTGTGTATAGAAATCTATATGCTGGAATCTATATTTTGTATATTTATATATATTTATATATATAATCTATATTTTGTTTTTTGTTTTTCATACTGTTAATATAGTGCTGCCTAAAATTAATGAGCTAAACAGTTAATTGCTTAACTATTGATAACTTTTATATTACTGTGTTAAAATTTCATATCTAACAATATTATTAATGTTTTGCAGTCAATCGCTAATCAAATTTATCATTTCAGATTTCATATAAAAAAATATTGTCCAGTGTAGCATTTGTTTCCATAACTTTCAATCCTTTCAGTTGTAATTTGGTTCAAATAAACTGTAATAACAACTGTAAAAACCACAAAAAAAAAATAGCGCTGTATAACTTACACTTGTATAGCAGTGGTAAAAGAAGAAATATTAAGCATAATTTAAATACAATAAAATATTGATAATTGACAAAATTGGGAAACATGAAAACGGGATAGAATGCGTAGAAAATACTGCTTCATTTTTGATATAAATAAGGCAGAAAATAGAATGTCAACAATAGATTCTCAGTAATGAGTAGACGTAAAAAAAAAAAATGGAGTATTTGAGTAAAGGAAGTTAGTAGGAGGGTAATGATGATGTTGAGTATACAAAAATTTGAATAGATAGCAAAACATCAATTTCTGTTTTTTATTTCAAAGAAAAAAAAGGTTTTTTTCTTCATAATAAGGTACCATCAACTATTATTTTTATGCCAAAAATCCTTTTATAAAGTAATTAGCATTAC